TGTGAATATTTCTTGAAACAGTATTATGAGGCTACTAGTGATAAGTACCATATATATATATATATATATATATATATATATAATATATATATATATAAAATAAAATATTGATTATTGAGAATTTGAAAGTAGACAAGAATTACAAGTTTTTAACCCAAATATAGTGGCTTTAAAAATATCTCTGCGTGTGCGTGTGTGTGTGTGTGCGTGTATGTATGTGTGCACGCACGTGCATTCATATGCATATGTTATATGTGTTAAATCTGCAATAGTTCAAAGGTTTTTCTCAGGTAAATAAATTAAAATTCCCCTTAAAATTAAGATTTTGAAATATACTCTTGCATCTTTCTTTTTTTTCCAACTAAATCATTAAATAACTTTATCAACAAAGTGATTCTACCAGGAAAAGGTTGAACACAAAGAACCAAATATAAGGGCCAATAATTAAAAAAAGAAATAATATTTGTGCATTCCTAATAGAAGAAGCTATAACAGGTTTTCAAATATTTAGCAATTCTGTTTGAATCTTCAGTAAAATACTTAACTGATTAGTCAAAATAATTATATTTAAGGCTGCTAGATGTTCAGTATTTGTGGGAAGGTTTTACATATGTGTATGAAATTATGAATAAGTAACCACTATACTTCAGTGCTATTTTATTATTGTGGTAATATTCTTACACTTCTAGTTGCATTAATCTTACCATGAACATTCCATTCTTTCTCTTGATCAAAATAATTTTGGAATCCATTTTATTTCATTTATAACATTTCTACAGATTTTCATTCATAATGCATAGCAGTTATGCAGGTTTCAAATTCTAAACACCTAGAGCTCTGACCAATAGGGAAAAGAAACACCAGATGCTTAACTGTTACACCTGAAAAAACACCTGGGATAATTATTGAGAAAAATAGGATATTTCTTGGACCATGAGGATACAAGCTCTTAAGGACTGGAGAAAGCTGCTATTAATGGGCATTTCATGTGTAACTATATACAGGACTCCAATAAAAATACTTATTGAAATTTCTCCTGAATGTTAGCTTTAAGTGCCACAAAACTGTTGCTTTCAATGCAATAAACCAATATAGATATCATTAATATCTTTATTTTTTAAGCTTTTATTTTTATTATATGATGTATATTTAAAATGGAAGTATGATACAACGATCCAAGTCCTTTGAAGCATGTTCATATTGTTAGCCCTATTTTTTTTTAAAAAAAACTTCCTTTTGCAGGTAAATATGCAGAAGATATCTTTGGAGAACTTTTCAATGAGGCACATAGTTTTTCTTTCCGAGTGAATTCCTTACAAGAACGTGTGGATCGTTTATCTGTCAGTGTTACACAACTTGATCCAAAGGAAGAAGAGCGTGAGTTTTACAAGAATAGTAGATGTGTTACTTTATGGTTCGTACCAGATGTGGTTATCATTTGAAAATATTGGTCCTGAAGACATTTTTATCTATTATTTCCAGTTAGCAGATGTTGCACTATAAATCTAAAGCAAACCAGTATAAACAGCCTTTAAAATATGCCATTGAGAACATAAAATACATGATTGAGAACATGTATACGCTGTTTTCGGTATCCCACTGAATAATCTGTGTTCTGAGAGATCAAATTTCAGTTAGCTGTGTTTGAGAGCAGATTTCAAGTGAAATTTGCCATAAAGCAGTTGCCATACTGATACATGCCATAGCTGAGGGTCCTGCCATACTGATACATGCCATAGCTGAGAGTCTTGCACAGGGCTAACAAATACTGATTTGTAAAAACTCATCAGGTTGTTAATTGATTAGATGAAGATGAAGAAGCTGAAATTTGATCCAAAAATTTAAGTGGTAGTTCTCTGTTTCATAAAACTAGTTTCACAAAACTAAAAAACAAAACTAAAAAACTAGTTTCACAAAACTAATTGAATATGAATATATTTGTTCCATAAAATTATGTTCATGACTTGGATATAATCCTTGAACTGGTAGTGGTATTTAGGAAGCCCTGTGATCAGCTTTGACTTGGTAGCCATTGTGGCCCTATTCCTGGAAAAAACAGTTTTGTTACATTTTTGAAGCTTATCAATAGAAAGGTAGATAGATCCTCTGTATACTGCTCTGGGCTCCTTCAGGACAAAGCACAATATAAAGATAGCAGTAATTGTAATGCAATAGAAAATCATAAGTCAGTGGTATTAGTGAGTAATATACTAATAATATACTAGTGAATTGTGGTAATGAAGAACCAGCGACAAAGTTTATGAAAAACTATGACATTTTGAAAGAATGTAGTCTTGTTGAAATGATAGACTTTCTGAAAGAGGAGGAGAAGTAGTAGTAGTAGTAGTAGTAGTAGTAGTAGTAGTAGTAGTAATGTAGGAGCTGCTTGAATATAGGGAGTCACCTTACAATTGGGATTGGGAGTGCTACCAAAAATTGGTATGGTCATAAAGCAAAAATCACACAACTGCACTGACTTAAAATGGAAAACTTGGCACCCCCTTGTGTTCATTAATTGAGAATCACAGGTAAGTAAGTGAATATTCACCCAAATCCAAGCCATTTTGAGGTCTGTCCCTCCCAGCTCTAAGCCCAAGTAAGTGTGTCATCTTACCCCAGCCCAGTCCCAATAGCCTTTACCACCCTGCACTTTGAGATCCCTGCCACTTTGTGCTCTGCTGTCCCATCTCACCTTTGCTACCATATCCTTGCTCCTGCTGCTGAAATTTACCCAGTCTGGTTACCAGTATGGGGCTTTGAGCAGCCAAAAAAACAAAAAAATGCACAAAGCAGCTTAAAGGAGCCACAACATGCCAAACCCTCTTTGTACCATGTTTCTGGACCCTATGAAGCTAGTTTTGCACGGCAAAAGCTAAAAATAAAAAAGCACAAAGCAGCCCCTTTAAAGTGTTACTATGGAGAGAAAATTTGGAGATAGATGCCCTTACATGTTATTTGGCAATTGCAGAGGAAAGACAGGATATTAAAATATAAAATAATTTTATGTTATATTTTATATATTTATATATTTTAAAATAATGTTTTAAAAATTATTTTACTCTATTTTTCAAAAAAGTGTAGGAGGCATAAATCATACTTAGATTAAGTTGCTATTGGCATAATTGCAGCAGGAAACTATGGGAACTTGGAATTGAAAGTTAATCGGTAGACCTTAATACTCCAGATATTTAAACACTTTAAGGTAGTTTCTGCAAATGTGTTTTTAAAATTTTTGCTTTGGTTTATCTGAAATCACTGATCTGGTTACTCAAAAGCATACCAGTGAAATTTCAGCTATTTCATAAAAAAAGAAAGAATTTAAGGAAATTTTCCCCTGAGTTTTATAAATTTTATCCATCCTGAACATGGAAAAAAGGTTGAAAAAAATGAAACAAATTAGCATGATTACTCTTATCATTTTAATTATAATTGCAATCATTTTAATTACAAAAAAACCATTTACAGTATTTTTCAGTATTAATGTGCCAAGATTTCCAATACCAAACTTACATAACTTCATTCAAAACCAGGACCATTTTAATTCATCTTCTCTCTTAGAAATGTATGGACTTTCTCAATTAAGAGTTTTAGAATCAATAAATTCAGAGATGGAAAGCATTAGAAATATTTAATCCTACCAGCTATCATAGCATTTCCACTATGATATTCTTTTGAATATGTTGAACTATAACTTCTGACATACCTATATGGTCTGCTTAGGGGACACTAGTTTATAGAACCCCCGTTTATTAGTTCCCATCAGTTAAATCCAAGTGTCCACCACAAAATTGCTTTCACAAAAATTGATCAGTTTAATTCAGTTCCATGAAACATGCAGTTATAGATTAATGCACACATTACTCATTAATTTCAATTAAATAAATTATGGGCAACAGAAATGTATGTTCAGTTTTGTTAACTAACTGAATTTATAGTCAATATTAGATGTAAGCCACATCCAAGAAACAAGAGCATGATTGATAAATTACCTTGTAACGCATATATGCTTTTTCCCATTATATTATTCTTTTGTTGCATGTAGTTAATTATTCATTTGGAAGATTTCTTCCATTAGAAAAATGTACGCCATTATAAAGAATCAATTCTGATCAGCTTTGAGGAAACAATTTGGGAAAAATCATTGATGCCAGTAGTCTAAATTATATGTTAAACTTTAACAACATGTTGCATAAAAATAATAAAGTAGTGACAGCTACTCAGCCAATTCAGAACCACATTCAAAGAATCCGTAGCAGCTTATTCTATCATTGTTAAGCTGTTAATTTCCAATTTCACATTGCTCACATACTTTTGTCATAGCAATTTTAGTTCTAATTTCAGAATTATCATTGGCTTACTTCTGCTAGGTATATTGAGCACAGAATCCTCCACTTTTTTTTTCCTGTTCAATCCTGTCCAATTCTCAGAGAGCATGGACAAGTTTTTACAGTTTTCTTGGCAAGGGTTTTCAGTAATGGTTTGCGTTTGCCTCCTTCCTAGGGCTGAGAAGACAGTGACTGGCCCAAGGTAGCTTTGTGCTGATTTCTAGTATAATGCCTTACACCAGACTGGCTTTTTTCTTCCACTTTACAGAGTTATAATTGTCATTGTAGTTGACTATGTAGAAGCATTCAAAGCATTGCTCTGAAAAGCATATTGTTGTGAGCTTAACATTCTTTTCCTTGAACCATTAAAGGAGACAGATCTACCTAAAGGAGGGGTCCCCAAATTTGGCAACTTTAAGACTTAGCATAGCTGGCATAGCTTCCAAAGTATGTGGCTATTTCAATGCTTCAATACTGAATATAGAGATTAATAACACACTAACTATGTAAATAATTATCTTTTCTCTAGTTTCACTGCAAGATATAACAATGAGAAAAGCTTTCCGAAGTTCCACAACTCAAGATCAACAGCTCTTTGACCGCAAGAGTCTTCCAATCCCTTTGCAGGAGACTTATGATACCTGTGAACAGCCACCACCACTCAACATCCTTACTCCTTACAGGTTATCATTTCAAAAATCTATACCCTATGTATTTATTATTTACTTGGATAATAATTTTCAAAAATCTGTAACTGAATTCAAGGATTTCATTTGAGATCCCAATTCTTTTTCATCAAAAGTCTCACAACTAATTCTATGCAACTTAAATTTCACATATTATTAGAGCAACTGATAATTTTAAGACTACATAATTGACTATCCAGATTACCTGCCATATATTTGTTTGATTGTTCATCATGATTATATTCTTTTATAATACATAGGCAAATGATTTATATTTATTCCTGTCCTAGCTAATCCTGTACTGCCAATGTCTAGGGGACTCCCCCCCCCCCCAGTTCTTTGTGTCTTACTGTGAAATGCTAAGGATTTAATTTGGAACTTTCTACAAGGAAAGCATGTACAGCAAGCTGTAATGTACAACATCTTATCATGCTTAAACTTGTACTAGAGGTTGGATTAAAGTCTTTGATTGATTGATTGATTTTTATCCTGCCTTTATTACTTTATAAATAACTCAAGACAGCAAACATACCTAATACTCCTTTCTCCTGTTTTCCTCACAACAACAATTCTGTGAGGTGAGCTGGACAGAGAAATTGACTGGTCCAAAGTCATCCAGCCAATGAGCATCTGCTGAGTGCATTTTCCTCATTATGAAGCATGTTGTTCCATTCTCAAATGGTAACTTTTATCAACCCATATGATTAGAACTTTGCAACCAAAATCACCTTTCAAACAAATTATTTAAATCATTAATTTCTATTAAGTTCACCTTTTCCTTATATTTTTCATATATGATTTTATATATTAATGGATTGTTAAATCAGTGCATAAAATTCTGCAATGAACTTAGCAGTCAAGCTCCTTTTCAAAATCTACAAAATAAATAATAGAATTTAAATGGGCATTACATAATGAATTTTACATGGCCTTTAAATATTTAGACATATGATGAAATAATTGCCACGATTTGTGTATTCAATAATTTAAAATTTGGGTTCACTTGTTATTGTCCTCAGATATGGTTAACTATTGAATTAACATAATCTAATTTTTTTGTCAGAAAGGTTTTTATTTTTTAATTATTTAAATACATCTTTGCGAGAACAGTGTGGTTTAGGTGTTTTACATTTTAAATCAATCATGTCCATAATCACAAATACAACTTTCCAGCATCACTTCATTTTTTCATCTTTATATTGTCATAAATTACTTTGTATCAGTCTCTTTATTTTAATTCATTGTCTATCTTCCTTTGTCATATATTTTACATATGAACAATTTAATCTAATCATATCATTTCATTAGCCATTCAAAATTTTCATCTTAATTTATAATTATTCCTTCTCTAACTTCCTATTCTTCATTTAGTGATGAGGGGGTTATAATCTCTGATGTTATCATTCAATTTGTATTTAATAACATTGTACGATGTTGCTTTGTCTTTAGAGATGATGGAAAAGAGGGTTTAAAATTTTACACAAATCCTTCATATTTCTTTGATCTATGGAAAGAAAAGATGTTACAAGATACAGAAGATAAAAGAAAGGAAAAGAGAAAACAGAAGGTAAAAGATACTGCTTTTGACCAACGACATAATGAAACAAAAGTAGCCCCATTAAGGCAGCCATTAAAATCATATAATTTCCTAAACATAGTAACACTTATTTGAATAATAAATTAAGAACTGGCAAAAGTAGTAGAAATGCCTTCCGGAAAATCAAAGTTTCATATAAAAAATGGAAAGATATGCACAATAGATAAAAAGGAATCTTTATTCCATCAGTTCAGGCCTATGATATATTTTCTTCTCTCTTGACTCTCAGATAGAAGTTTTGTTTCCTGTATGACAAATTCTATAATGGGAAATAGAATGGATTCTTATGTCCCTGCTATTTTGGCTTGTAAAGGATTATCCCTGTTGCTATCAGAGTTAGCATAGCGATTAAAACATATTTTTATAATCATGAGAAAAGTCTTTCTGCAAAGTAGTAAAAATAAATATTGATAGCCTATGAATGCTTGTATATAGAGATACTGACCCTTTTGGAAGAGAATAAATTATCTTCCTTAGCTTTAGGTTATCTCTTCCTATTTACTCTCAAGTGGCATATCCAAGTCTAGATTGCTTATAAGGCACTTATAATGGAAATAGATAGTAAAAAGCAAAAGGTATTGTAACATTTGCAACATATTTTATGCAGTTAGAAATTCATAAAAACAAAAGAGTTTTCACTTAAACTCCTATCCCTATCCTTCACCTGACTGTGCTACAGGGAAAGCATAGGAAAATCTCCTTAATGGAATATTTGTGTCATTGTAATGATGGCCAAGTCAAAACTATTGAACACATTATCTTCTACTGTAATTATTACCAAGACATTTGTACTACATTTATGTACCCATTATTTTTACGACTACCAGCATGTTCAGATCAATTTTACATCCATTTATTGCTTCCAGAAAACAGCTGTTATTGCTTTCAAACTGTAAGTTCCATGTGACAGGATATAAAATATGGCAGGACCCTTAGCTAGGAGATGTTAATTGATAAAAGTATTTAATATACATAAAGTGCCTTCAAAAAGTATTCAGACCCTCTTCACTTTTGCCAATTTTGTTATTCAGCAGCCTACAGTTGTTGAAATTCATTTTCCCCTCATTAATCTATATTCAGCACCTCATAATGACGAAGTGAAAATGTGATTTTAGAAATGTCTGTCAATGTATTAAAAATAAACTGAAATATTACATTGGCATAAGTATTCAGACCCTTTGCAACAACACTTGAAATTTAGTTCAGGTGCCTCCTGAAAAAATACAGGGATATTCTCAATGAATACCTGGTGTTCCACAGCACTCAGGACTTCAGACTGGACCAAAGGTTCACTTTCCAACATGACAACAATCCTAAGCACTCAGCCAAGATAATACAGGAGTGGCTTAGGGACAACTCTCTGAATGTCCTAGAGTGGCCCAGCCAGAGCTCTGACTTCAACTCTATTGAATTTATCTGAAGGGACCTGAAAATAACTGTCCATTGACAGTCACATCCAACCTGACTGAGCTTGAGAGGATTTGCAAGGAAGAAAAAAACCCAATCCAGGTGTGCCAAGCTTGTCACATCATACCCCCAAAAGACTTGAGGTTGTAATTGCTGCCAAAGGTGCTTAAACACTGAATGAAGGATCTGAATAGTTATGCCAATGTGATATTTCAGTTTTTTCTTTATAGAATAGAATTCTTCATTGGCCAAGTGTGATTGGACACACAAGGAATTTGTCTTTGGAGCATATGCTCTCAGTGTACACAAAAAGAAAAGATACATTCATCAAGAATCATAAGGTACAACACTTAATGGTAGTCATAGGGTACATATAAGCAATCAAATCATACTAGGAAACAATATAAATCATAAGGATACAAGGAACAAAGTTACAATCATACAGTCATAAGTGGGTGGAGATGGGTGATAGGAATGATGAGAAGATCGTAATAATAATGCTGACTTAGTAAATAGTTTAACAGTGTTGAGGGAATTATTTGTTTAGCAGAGTGATGGTGTTTGGGGAAAAACTGTCCTTGTTCTGGTGTGCAGTTCTCTATAGCATCGTTTTGAAGGTAGGAGTTGAAACAATTTATGTCCAGGATGTGAGGGGTCTGTAAATATTTTCACAGCCCTCTTTTTGACTCGTGCAGTATACAGGACCACAATGGAAGGCAGGTTGGTAGTAATTGTTTTTTCTGTAGTTCTAATTATCCTCTGTGTCTGTCCTTTTGGGTTGCAGAACTGAACCAGACAGTTATAGAGGTGCAGATGATAGACTCAATAATTCCTCTGTAGAACTGTATCAGCAGCTCCTTGGGCAGTTTAAGCTTTCTGAGTTGGCGCAGAAAGAACATTCTTTGTTGTGCTTTTTTGATGACATTTTTGATGTTAGGTGTCTATCTTAGGTCTTGAATATGATAGACCTAGAAATTTGAAGGTCTCTATTGTGGATACTGTGTTGTCTAGTATTGTAAGAGATGGTAGTATGGGAGGGTTTCTCCTAAAGTCTACCACCATTTCTACGGTTTTGAGTGTGTTCAGTTCCAGATTGTTCCAGTTGTACCACGAGGCTAGTTGTTCAACCTCCCATCTGTATGCAGATTAATTGTTGTCTCAAATGAGACCAATCACTATTGTATCATCTGCAAACTTCAGTATTTTAACAGATGGATCATTTCAGATGCAGTCATTGGTATAGAGAGGAGAGAAGAGAAGTGGAGAGAGCACACAGCCTTCTGGGGGCTGTGCTAATTGTACAGGTATCTGATACGATTCTGCTTAGCTTCACCTACTGCTCCCTGTCTGTTAGGAAGCTTATGATCCACTTACAAGTGTGTTCAGGTACCACTACCTAGTTTAGTTTAGTTAGAAGAATGTCTGGAATTATAGTATTGAATGCTGAACTGAAGTCTACAAGAAGATCTTTGGAGATCAAGATATTGTAGGCTGTAGTGCAGAGCCATATTAACAGCATCATCTATCGATCTGTTTGCTCGGTATGCAAATTTCAGGGGATCTAGCAATGGATCCATGATGGTTTTCAGGAGGAACAGCACTAGCCTTTCGAAGGTTTTCATAACTACAGATGTTGGAGCAATTGGTTTGTAGTCATTCAGTTCCTTGATGGAGGGCTTCTTCAGCACTGGGATTATAGTAGAGTGTTTGAACAAGAAGGAACATAGCACATCTCTAGTGATTTATTGAAGATTTGGGTGAAGATGGGGGCCAGTTGGTCAGCACAGACTTTTTTAAGCAAGAAGGAGTTAACCTTGTCTGGGCCTGGTGCTTTTCCTGGCTTTTGTCTGTGAAATAGATCTTGCGCTTCCTTTTCTGTGATCACCAGGGGTTGTGAACCCAATAGGATGGGGTCAGTTGTAGGAGGTTTAGCTGTTGTTGGTGTAACTGAGATGGGGTCAGTTGTAGGAGGCTTGGGTGGTGTTGGTGTGTCTGAGATGGGGGTTGTGGAGATAGGTGGCTGTAGTTTCCTTTCAAACCTGCAGTAAAACACATTCAGGTCATCTGCTAGTTGTTGATTTCCTTCAGCCTAGGAAGGTGGTTTGCTGTAACCGGTGATGTTTTTAAGAGTTTTCCAAATGTTTGTTGGTTCATTTATTGAGAACTGATTCCTTAACTTTTCAGAGTAGCTTCTTTTTGCTGCTCTGATCTCCCTTATTAATACATTTCTGGCCTGATATTTTTATATAATGTATAAAAATATATAAATGTCTATAAATTTTAATAAAGTTATAGACATTTCTAAACTTCTGTTTTCACTTTATCATGGGATACTGAATGTACACTAATGAGAAAAAAAGGAATTTCAGTAACTCTAGAATCAGGCTGCAGCATAATAAAATTGACAAAAGTGAAGATTCTGAATGTCCTGTATTTTCATTTTAGTGGCTTGTTAATATTCAGTTTTTGTAGAAATGCATAATATTTTGATTTGATGAGGTTTTTTATCTTAGGGAATTTTAGGTTATGTAAATTTATAAATTTATACTTTCTAGCTTTTTATATTTTATTCTCGTAGGCATTTAATAAGGCATAAACCTTATAGCATCTTCTAGATCTTAAACTCATTAGTTCATACTTTTTAGTTATAGTCAGTATATGTATAGTCAGTGTTTTATAGTAAATATAATATGAGAGATTGTCTCTATAATGCACAATAATTCAATGATTACTGTATTGTTTATTACTTACATCTTATATTGCTGAATGAATGACAAAAATGTGAAGGAATTATCACTGACAGTCTAGTTTAAATGTTATATCCTTGTTGTAATGAAAAGAAAATGGATGCTTCTGGAGGATTCTGTTATGTGCTGAGCAGAACTCTTTCAGTCTCAGGTTTTCTATTTTTTTTTTAATAGCAGAAGAACCTCGATCGTCCTCATGAACCAGAAAAAGTGCCACGGGCTCCTCATGACAGGCGCAGAGAATGGCAGAAATTAGCCCAGGGACCAGAACTCGCGGATGACGATGCCAGCCTTTTACATAAGCATATTGAAATTGCTAATGGTCCTGCCTCCCATTTTGAGACCAGGTTTGTTTGGTTTTTTTTAAACTTAGAGTTTGATCCTAGCCCATTTATATTGTTTGTATGAATTTCAAGTTAGCTGTCATCTGTACGTTCTATAATTAGGAGTAATTTTCTAGAAGGGTCCATAATTTGACATTGCCGTGATAGATCATTGCTGTCTGTCATGCCACCTTATATTCATGACTGGACTTGCAGTCTTCCTTCCCATATTCTCCAGGGAGAGCTTTTGAATACTTTACTCTCCAGACAAACCCCTCTTGTTCTTATATGTGGATGTGTGTATAATAGCAGTGGTGATGATGGTTTGCTATTTGCTTTGGAGTTAGCAAAACAGAATTTAAAATTTCTGTTCCTGCATTCAGTGCACATCTTCAGTGTTCACAGTTTGTGACAGTTACAAAACAATGTGTTAGGTGTGTATATTTCTTTGTCATGTGTTAAGTTGCCATGTTGGCCATCTAATCACTAACGGTTTGATACCGTCTTCCTTCATAAGTATTGAAATAGTGGGCTAATTTTTCTTTCGAGAGAAATATTTTTTCTTGTAATGGCAGTGAAATCAGAGACTAAAATGAATTTAACATATGTGCATGGGATTTATTTCTGTCCAGACCGCAGGCATATGTGGAACACATGGATGGACCCTATTCTCTTTCTGCATTACCGTACAGCCAAATGAATGAACTTCTTAACAGGGCAGAAGAGCGTGTTTTAGTAAGACCCCATGAACCTCCCCCACCTCCACCAATGCATGGAGGAGGAGATGTGAAACCCATTCCACCCTGTGTTAGGTAAGAAGCACTTAAAATGAACAGCCAGAGAGCCTTGGTAATAGCTGACACTGATATAAGTTGTAGGTAAAAAATAAAGAAGTAAGTAAGAAAGAAAACTTTACAGGAACAAAAATCCATGAAATACCTATTCCTTGTTTGATAAGTCTGAGTACTTTGATGCTCTTTAATATGCTTTGTTCTTAGAGGTTTTCCTATGCATTTACTCAGTAAATTCATTGCCATTATTTATGAGCCAGTTCAACACCTATAGTCATCGAAACAAAAGTAATAAAATCATATAAAACCTCTAGAAAGTGACATATTCAGCTTAAAACTAAAAAGAGGAGGAAAAAAAAACTGAAATTCACCTGCATGTAGTCCTTGTTGAGCTACAACGTACTGCCTCATATAGGAACTTTTGACGATTGGTGGTGAAAAAGTAACTTTGTGACCAATTTTTGCATATATGTCCTCTGCAAGTGTGTAAGCAAAGGAAAGCTGAATCAAGATTGTAAGCACAATCACATTTTCATTTAGGGACGCTTCATATCGCAGCCAAGTTGCCAGTTCCTATTGTCACTAAACAAGGACTACCTGCAGACCATATCATAGTAATTGGAACAATTCGCTACCATCGTGTAAATCCCTTTCATTAGGTTATCCCGCCAAAGAAAAGACGTACCTACTAGAATTGTGTGGTGATCCAGATTCTAAAGGTAAAAGTGGTTTGGTCCACACATAGGTAGCAGACTTCAATTATCAGCATCTCCTTAAATTAGAGTCACCTTTTTCTGGGATTGCTCAGTTGTTGCCCAAGTCAAGGAAAAATGGCAGCCTTTTTAAACAATTGCTGGGGAGTGACATGTCCATGTGTCCTTTTATTTTTCAAATCTAAATTGTTAGATAGCCCTGATGGCATACCAACTGAAAATATAGATTGTTACTAACCAGTTACCTGTGTTAGGCATAGTCAAGGCATCAGACTAAGATAGAGATGATCTAGATTTAACACTATCCCCAATCATGAAATTGACTGGCTGACTTTGAGCCATCACTATCAGCTTTTGGGAAAATATAGAGGAAAGGGTACCATGTACATTTTCTTCAGTTCCTGGAGGAAAGATGTTATTATATAAAGTTAGCAATAAGCAAATAAAAAAGATCGCTTGATCTCCAGTGATAATGATTTCTCTAGGAACACTTCAAACCCTAGGCAATTATTTTAAAAATGCAAGAAAAAGGACCAATATTTTTGGCCCCATCTCTGGGAGGAAGCTCTTGAGGCTTACAAAAATAATGTTGGGCGGCTGTTTTTTACACATGCTGTAAAATCTACAGAACTCCACTCCAAATTCTACTTCACTCTGAAGTGCAGAGACTGACCATAAGGAGGAAGGACAGTGTTTCACACTCCTTTTGTGGAGTACTCTCAAAAAAGAAGCTTGCCTCTCTTGTAATAATTTATTCTTAATGCTGGGCATTCATCATCTGGGCTCTTAAACATTTTAATACATTTTATCATCATGTTAAGCAATGCATTGTCAGTTATTTAATTATTGTAACAAAATAATTTGACAGATTTGTCTTTTTAGTGCTATGTTATAATAGTTATACTGATTAAACTCTAGTTTCATTTACATGTGTTTTTCTTTATTCTATATTGCCAACCATTAAGTGACAACTCAGGAAAAAATTACAAATAAATATATCATTTATTTTTAAATTAGCAATATAACTATTTGTAATACAATTTCAAAAATAAAATGGTAAACGAAGTATTAGATATGGAAACCCTGGGAACTGGCTCAAGTAAGACCGATTGCACATTCAAAATATTTGCATGTTCTGAAATTATTATTGATATTTAGAATGTGACTACAACTAATTTCTCTTCTTCTAATTGAACTTATTTTCAGTATTTTTTTATCCCAGCTCTACTGCAGCTTTGACAGAAAATCGCCCTCAATCACCTGCTGCTGGCAGAACTCAAGTCTTTGTGAGTCCCACTCCTCCCCCGCCTCCTCCCCCTCTTCCGTCTGCTCTATCTACTTCTTCATTAAGATCTGCAATGACTTCCACACCTCCCCCTCCAGTGCCACCCCCTCCCCCTCCTCCCACCACTGCTTTACAACCTCCAGCTGTCCCTCCACCCCCTGCACCACTACAGATTGCTCCCGGAGTTCTTCATCCAGCTCCACCTCCCATAGCACCTCCCTTAGTGCAGCCCTCTCCTCCCATCACTAGAATTGCCCAAGTCTGTGAACCCGTTCCAGTTCCGCCAAGTGAAATTCAAGGACTCCCTCCACCGCCTCCTCCTCCTCCACTGCCCCCTCCTGGTGTTCGTCCCTCATCACCAGTTTCTACTCTTTCTCACCCGCCCAGCTCTACTGTCCCAGGCCCTCACCTTCCCATAATGCCTCCATCCCCATCCCAAGTCACTCCTGTTCCTGAACCCAAACGGCACCCATCAACACTACCCGTCATCAGTGATGCCAGAAGTGTCCTCCTTGAAGCAATACGAAAAGGTACTAGATATCTGGATGAAACAAATATTCTTTTTGCAGATTTAATGTTTTTTTAAAAGTATGCATACTCAGCATGTCATCTTAAGCAAATTGCTATATGGATTTAAGAAAAAAAACCTTCACTTGATGTTAGATAGTCATTTATCCTTGGATGGAGTTTATAACTACATAAATGTTAGCTAAAATGGTTTCCACACAGTACAGTGTTGAGAACATAACCTGTGAAAGTGTCCCACAAGTGTATTTTATAGTATTAAGTTATAACAACAACAAAAATCAGTATATGATGGATGCATGTTCTAACATACCAAACAGCTGCTCTCTGATTTTTCTTTCTGTTGTTCACAAGTTGTTTTTTTTTTTAAATTAAAGCCATATTACTGTGCTTTGGTTGAAATCATTAGCACAAGTAACAGAAGAGCTTAATTTTTATTAATTTAAATAATTGGGAAATAAAAAGCAGACAACTAAATAAAAGTATATTCTGATTTCTGCTTTAGACTATTTGAAATTCAGGAGCCTTGGTCAGAAGTGGTTTATTCCGATAAACATGGTATATTCTTGGTTTTGAAAGAACCAGAAAGTTCGAGCGTTCTAAGGCTGCAATTTATACAGCATTTTTTCCAGTAAATTTTACAGTAAAGAAGTGACTATTTATCAAAGAAGCTACTGAAATATATTTTCTTATTAAATTTCTATAATAATAATCTATATCCGTTACACCACTTCACTGTAATTTGCTTCCCATGTTATTGTGAATTCACTTTTAATGAATTCACTTTTAAATCAGCAGCTGCCAGACCTTGGAACATTTTGTATATCAACAATTTACATTAATAAAATTGGTGTATTATTAATATAAAGTATGGATATTCTACTTTAAAATTTATGAAGAAAGGTTATTACTGAATAATCTTATTTTTTGTAATTGCATTTTTATATTCATTCATTTTTGTCCTTAATTAAAGAATAACTTAATAAATTCCCTAATTTCCCCTCCTTTCTTTATTAAAGTAGCTTGTACGTCCCAAACAAGATGCCTAATGGTATAAGGTACACAACATAGCACCTGAGGCTGGTTCTCTCTCCAACTTGATGCTTCGCTCAGTTGGATCTGATTATTTTTATTCTTTCCATTTAAAATAAATAAATAGATTTTGGAAGCTAGCATGTTGCAAAACACAGTACCAGCCTCAGGCATTTCTGCACTAACAGTACCTCTGTGGCACCTTTGAGGCAAACTCAGAAAATAAAATATTAAGGGGCTGAAACTCAGCATTCTCTTTGAGAGTGTGCCCAGCAACTCAGAAAAACAGGAATAGTTGAAGTGTTTAGAGAACATCCTAAGAAGCTAAAAGGATAATAGAGAACAACTGTACCCAATTTTCTTCTAGCAAATGCTTTGTGATCATCCATACCAACCCTGACAGGCTTTTTTTTTAAAGATATGATGTCAAAATTACACATAAGTCTGCTAAGACAAGGCAATAAGTTGGGGACCCCTTAGATAACAGGTGGTTTTGGTCACCCGCAAGTGACTGGATAATATGTAAAAAAAATTGACAGCCTAAAAAAAGATATTTATTTCCAAGAATGCTTTTGAGGACTGTACTGTCCAGAGGCATTTATAGAAAAATGACTGTATTGATCGCTCAGTTGTTCGGAAGTTGCCATCTTTGTCTTTTTTGTTATTAGCAAAAAAGAGAAAGGTAAGGTGAAGTAATAGTCTTATATAATAATAATAATAATCTTGGTAAACTAGAGAAATGATGGGATCAATTTTTACAAGTTTGCCTCCTAGTAAATATGTGTTTTATGACTGAGATTATCTCATTGGTGGTCATTTGTTGAAAGTGCCTATGATGTATTCTCGGACTTCTGAGTTGTACTACCTGGATCAGAGGTAGTATTCAGCAAGTTCTGACCAGTTCTGGAGAACCGGTAGCAGAAATTTTTAGTAGTTCAGAGTACTGGCAAATACCACCTCTAACTGGAGATTTTACAGTATCCTTCCCCTGCCACGCCCACAGAACTGGTAGTAAAAAAATTTGAATCCTACCACTGACCTGAACCAGAAAATTAATAGGTACTCCTAAGGAAGTGATAAAAGTGCATGCTATTAATTAAAGATTCTTATGGAAAACAAATTAGTCCATGTTGCTATGCCTAATATAGATGGCTTGCAAAATACATGTTGGTTATTTATAATTTTTTGGTGATATTCTAGGTATTCAGTTGCGTAAGGTTGAAGAACAACGTGAACAAGAAGCTAAACATGAGCGTGTTGAAAATGACGTTGCCACCATTTTGTCTCGCCGCATTGCTGTGGAATATAGTGATTCAGAAGATGATTCAGAATTTGATGAAGTTGACTGGTTGGAGTAAAACGATTATATGCTACAAAACTGAATGCCTAGTGTCCATTGTGGTGCTTGTTCTTTGAAAATGTTTGGTCATTCCTAGTGTTTTTGTATTTTCTTTATATAATCTATGTTTTTCTATTTTTTATTTCAAAAAATGTTGGCACATCTTTGGAACTAAATGTTTTACAGTGAAGACAGTTCTTTAAAAAGAGCGTCATTTTGCTCCAGTAGACCATTAAGTATTAAGCATGGGCAGCTGTTGATAGAGTAGCAGACTACATTTTCTGGCATTTAACTGTGCACTTTGTGAATTTTAAGTTATGAAGGCAATTAAGTCTGAAGTTTCAAGGGCAACTGCATGTACTAATAAGCTTTATTATATTACATTGCTAATGCTGAAAAACTTGGAAAAAGGGGTGTTCATCCATCTGGCACTGCAATCCCAACATTTCAATGGACCTGGAATATGAGATGAACTTGAAGGATTTACACCCTTGTAACCACTGCCTTGATTACATCTGTACAGGACTTGTAGTTTTAGCAGCACTGGAATACTGAAAAAGAAGGGAATACGGATCTTGGGGGAATTTTATTGTTGTTGTTTTATTAAAAAATGATGGCCTTATTTGAATGCTTTGGCGATTTTATTCCTTTTTACCTGTTGTAATATTTTCCCTACTTAAAATTTTTGATTTTTCTCCCCTTGTGAAACCATCGGACTTAAGTCATTCTGTGTAATTTATGTAACTGTTAAAAATAACCGTTCAGTTTTAAATAAATGGTTTGTTTTTAATGTTCCTGGTTGTTGCTTTTTGACATAGAATAACTCAGAACATTCAAGACTTTATTGAATGTTAAATAATAATGTCTAAACTTTGCAGTGATTTTATATGTGTGGAAAACATTTTAACTCTGAAGAATTCTAACAGGTTACATATTTTTCTTGGCTATGTAGGATACATCAGGAACATTTTTGGCCTTAAAATACACATGCAGTTGATGATGGTTGGGGGACCATGTATACAGACACTTGCCTCTTCTGCATAGAGTACACTGGAGAAGCAAAATCAAAATGGCTTCTTCTTTTCTATAGGTAGCTGAATCTGATTTTTACCCTATGACTATTTTCATAGACAGAGAGGCAGTTTGGCGTAATAGTCAATGTAACAGGCTAGAAACTGGGATATCATGAGTTCTAGTCTTGCCTTAGACATAAAGTCCACTGGATAATATTGGCTAGTCATTCTCTTTCCACCCTCAGTAGCAAACAAAAGTAATCTACTTCATGCCAAGAAACTACAGGGACTTGTTCAGGAAGTTAACAGGAGTACATGCTGGCACAAAGGAGCCAAAAAAGAAAAGAAAAAAAAATAGTTTTCATAACTTAAAGCTTTGTGATATATCTAATGTTGCATACCACATCCACATACAAATGCAAATGCAAAGACCAGTTTTTATGTTAGTCCATCATCATAGTCCATCATTCTTGTCACCATGATTTATAACAAACATCTAGGAAATGATCAAAATTATTAAATGAAAGGGACAGAATTTCTTACTGCATTCCATTCTCCCCACCATCAACATTGATACAGATTATTTTGAGATGACTTTCCTTGCATTCCATCTTTAACACAATTGAATTATTGACAGCCCACCAAATAGCTGCTTGCTGAACTGTGAAGAATCCAGTTAAAGTGTGGTGGTCTCCTTGCACAGCCTATTCCCCAGCATAATTAAAGCAGTGACCATTAAAGGGACATGGAAAACAATGTTCAAAGCTATAGAGAAGAATCCACAAACCACAGATTGCAGATTTCTGTTATACACTAACGATTCAACCTCAGCAACAATAAGATGTGTGGGCTTCCAACTCCGAGAATTCCTCTTACTAACTATAGACTAAAGAAGGATGGGAAATCTGTGAATTATATCTGGTGTTGGATTCCAAACATTGCTTACCATCTGTCCCAAACATCACAACCAATGAAAGCAATAGTATATCAACCTTAGGAGATGCATTGTATCAGATACCTCAGGAGAAGCCTACACTCTTTGCAGCAAATAATATTAGTGTTAAATCTCTTCAAGATTCCAGACATCTTTCATACTGAAAAAAAATTAGTTCATATTTTAAATGCGTGTGTACATGTTCAGTTTAATATTAGTGTATATATAAATAATGTCCCTCAAAAGCCTACATGTAATCTGCCTTTACTGTTCTTTTTGCTTGCAGGGGAGCTGTAGTCGTTTTGAATATAGTAAATCAATACTAGTAAGTTAATAAGTATGCATTATATAAGTACTGTTGCTGAAAAAATAACATTCAGGGAGATGTTTTTAATTGGTTTTGCTCTCATGCAATTGACTGATTTCAGAAAGTTTCTTGGACCTTTGATATTTACACTTTATGATATCAAGGGACTCCATCTTTGTCTCCATTTTTAAAAAATCTGTGGCACATAAGTTTAAATCAAACATAGGAAACTTGTGTTCCTAAGTCCAGAATGTGATTGTCAGGTTAATTTCAAAGTTCCTGTTCAAGAGATCCTTTAGATCCATTGTAAGAACTATCTGAACTTCCCCTGCAGCCTGCAAGGGTTATTGGAAAAGGTTCCCCAGAGATAGATTGCTTCTTTAGAGACAAGATTGATGTTTTCACCAACCTTATGTTCTGCTTCTCTAGTTGCTGGTTGCTTCACTCATTCATCATGTGGCCTCTAGTAGATTATTGCTGAAGGGAATGTGAATCTTGACATGAAATAAGTTTTTTCCATGCTGTTCTAAGAGAACATAGCATAATCTGAGAGTACTTTCTGATTCAATTTTTTCACTTGAGAACATAGAACGTATTATAGTTTGGCATGGGGCATCTTTTACTAGTCTTGACCTGAAACTGAAAGTTAGATGCTATTTAGATGCTGGTATCATATAATTAATTATCCATTGTTAAGATTATTGAAATAAGTTGCACAATGCTTACTCTTGAAAATGGATCAAAAGCTGTAGTCATTTTAATAGAAGATTATTGCTTGATAGAACCAATCTATATACCACTCACATTGTCATGACTTACCTGGGCAAAACAATACATAACAGGGCAACAATTTTGAACCCAG